TCTATCCATCTCTCAAACCTCACTTTCCGTGTTTTCTCCTTCTCTTCCTACTCACTTTTTCGATTTCTCTCATCACCGCTGTTTACGTTTCCTCTTTTTTTTTTTCTTTTCTCTCTCATCTCTCTCTTTCATTCCACTCTCTCGCTTTCTCTCTCTCTCTTTTCTCTCTCTCCGCACGTAACCAACCAGTCATTTCCTCAGTCTAACCCAATCAAGTGTCTTTTAATGAACTTCAAACCCGCGTTATCGGCTCGTCCTCCCTCCTCCCTCCTCCCTCCGTTCTTCCTTCACCTCCCTCCCTCCTTCCCTCTCCATCCCTCTCTCCTTTCACCTTATCATGCTTCCTTCTCTCACACGGGCTTCTATTAACTCTTCTGTTCTTTTATGACGTTCTTTTTTGCTCATTTCGGCGTTACGAACCGAGAGGACGAACAGAAGTACTCGGCAAAGTACAAATTGTTACTCGAGTTCTGGTTAAAATCTTTAGTGGTCTTAAATTTGGAGTATCTGATCTTCAAACCGTGAAAGCAGCTACTTCAAAATGACACAAACATCTTCTCTCTCAACAGCGGAGTGGGGCAAAAACCTCACAAAAAGTAGTTCTAGTTACCTGTTACTTCTTACATACGCAGGCCTACACATATAGATTTCTTGTTAATTAACTGGAGTAACTTGTGTCTTGTTGCTTTCTATGTTTAAATAGTTGTACTGTGACTTTAATTGTGAGTCTTTGTATATTTATTGTTTATATGTGGCACTTGGTCTGGCTGTAAAGTGCTTTATTAACCCTCGTGCACCCCTTTTAAAGTAGTTACACCTGTGGTCCTTCGTTACAAAAATGTACATTGAAACAGAATATCATAATATTTTTAAAATTTTTGTACAACTTTTTTATATCAATATCTTCATTTCCTTCTGCCCTAATCATACATACCAAATAATATAATATTTTGAAATTTTAACCCCCCTTGTTTGCAAAATCTCAAATTATGTGCATGAAAAAAATTTTAAAAATCAGATTTTTTCTATGGATTTTAATTTGTTTGTGTTGGGGTTGTCAGAGGCTAAAACAAAAAAAAAAAAGTCAAAATCACTGGGAAGTTATAACATCCCCATGTTAAAAATAGTGCCAGTGATTTTGACTTTTTTTTTTTGTTTTTGCACAAACTCAGATAGTTACACCTGTGCTCCTTAGTGACAAAATGTACATTGAAAAAAGAATATCACAATATTTTTATGCTGTACAGATTTTTGTCCAACTTTTTTTATATCAATGCCTTCATTTACTTCTGCCCTAATCATACATACCAAATAATGTATAATATTTTGAAATTTTAACCCCTTAAATTCCAGTTTTGTTTGCGAAAGTGTCAAATTATGTGCATGAAAAAAATATAATTTTTTTTTTTCTATGGATTTTAATTTGTTTGTTTTGGCATTATCAGAGGCTGAGGGAAGTCATAAAATAGTGCCAGTGATTTTGACAATTTTTTTAAAGTTTTTGCACAAACTCAGATAGTTACACCTGTGGTCCTTTGTGACAAAAATGTACACCAGAAAAGAATACCACAATATTTTTATGCAGTACAAATTTTTGTCCAACTTTTTTTTTATATCAATGTCTTCATTTACTTCTGCCCTAATCATACATACCAAATAATATATAATATTTTTTCAAATTTTTCAATATCTTTCAAGTATTTTTTTATTTGCTCTTCTGATTTGAAGGGTTTTAAACACCAAAAAATAAAAAATAAAAATAAATCAAAAAGAAAAAATATACTGTCAAAGTTATGTCAGTGAAAAAGGACATTTTGAATGGAAGTCAATGGGAAAAAAATTTACCTAAGGACCATGAGTATTTTGACTTTTCAAACAATGTGATCTTGAAAAACACACACAGAAATTAAAAATACATCACAAAATAGACAAACTAGCCAATTCTGGTGCTATTTGGTGCAATACAGCCAAAGTTACACTAAAAAGAAAAGTTGCAAAAATGTACCTCAGGGGTGTAGGAGGGTTAATAAAGTTGATATGGTACTTGAACAAAACATAGCAACCAAACAGCATTAAAAATAAAAATACAAAATTATTAGTTAAAAGCAGTGCAGAGGTCCGATTTTAAATGAAGTTACTCCAGCTTTAAAGATCCTATATTACACAAAATGGATTATTGTGAACTTAATGCCACGTTATAACCTTGTTACGTCATCAAAAACATACCTGAAGTTGTGTTTTGTTTCATTCACACACGTGTTCTGTCCCACTTTGTGATGTCATAGAGGAACTCGGCCTAAATCTGCAGGGTTTTTGTGTGAAACGTGTGAACGAAACAATGATTTTGACGAGAAAACAACATTATAACAACGTAAAAGAACATAACCTAATACAGGCCCTTTAAAAAAAATGCAGTACTACTTTTTATAGTCCACAAAGATACACTTATTTATACACTTTTTTTATTCAGTGGAGAGTATGGAGGTATATAACTCATTTTTAATTATGTATATAGGCCGTTATAAGTATTCATGTCACATCTCAAAGTAAAGCTACAGCCTTGTTGGTCTAATTTGAACTTCTCAACATGGCAAACGTGAGCTGGATCATAATTATCCCCGTGCCATGTCTTTTTCTTCTCGGTATCTGCTCTTCTTTCTCTCTGTCCTCCCCTCTCTTCACCTGTGCTCCCTCCTCCATTATCTCCCATGCCACCCATAGGTGCTCTATATTTAGCGTCTTGTACCTGAATTGATTGGCTGTTAATTTTAGACCTCCAATTGCTAAGTGACTCACCTCGTTCTCGCTCCAGCGCCGGCATATGTTCCAAGTGCTCACGGAGAAACCTCTGTTAATCAATGTACCATGAATGAATATTGCGTAAACTGTTAGTCATTTTCACATTTCAGCATGAGTTTGAGAGATTTAACTGTTATATAAGCCTGTTAAATGTACTTTTTTACCATTGCAAGTTAATTTTTTTGCTGTTTTACTTAGTACACAATGTTGTAACTTACAGAAACTAAACAAAATATGACGACAGCAACCTCTTATTGTGCTTTATGTTGAGAAAGACAATTGCGTACGCTTTGAAAAATGGGATTTGAAGGCTAGAAAAGCAATCGTAATCTAAACAAAATCCGAGAATTTTGACGTTTAACCTGACCAACTAACAAAAAAACCCAACGTTGATAATTTTGTCACCTTTTTTTCCATTTTATTAGTTGTTGTTGATCTTATCCATGGGTTTCAGAATGGTTAAAGAGTAGAACTGTTGCCATAGCGATTAACAATCAATGGGAAAATATAGCAAAGCAGTGGCTTATTGTGGCCTGTTTAGTTCCAACATTGCAAAAAGTGCTGCTTTTTTTTAACACTTTATGCTGATTTGCTGACAATAAACAATTGTTCTACATCATGGAATTTTTCAGTTGCCGTAATTGGAGATTTGAAGACACTAAAACAAAACTAAGAGCTAATTCAAAGCTGTTGTTGACATTTTAGAGTGATACCAGTACTTTTTACATACCGTATTTTTCTGACTATAAGGTGCACTGGATTATAAGGCGCATTAAGTGAAAGAGACTGATCCCTTAGTCCAGGCGTCCACGATCCATCGGCAGATCGTGGCGTAATTCGCCCGGTGTTGCCTCCCTGTTTTGGTGAATGTGGATTATGAATGTGAATGTGGGTGGATAATTTAAGTTTGTTTTTTATTTCCTACGAGGACGACTCAAATATATTGTACATTACCGGTCAAAAGTTTTCGAACACCCTAGTTTTTCCAGTTATTTATTGCAGTTCAAGTCGTGCAAGTCCAACGAAGAGCTTGAAATGGTACAAAGGTAAAAACTGAACAGCCAGAGGTAAAAAAAAAAGCTAAAATATAACAAAACACAAGTCCAAGCTCTGCCAAAACTACCTCAGGAAAAAGAACAAGATTGTAAAGTTTGAAAACATGGAGT